CCAACGCGCATGAGCCCACCGTCAAGCCTAGCTAAGCAGACTGGCTCGCCGTGGCGATCATGCTTGGACCGACGGCAGTGAAGCGCGCTGAAACACGCGTCCGCCGTCAATCATTCACTGTTTTCTGCTGCGCAGACGCTGGCGATCGGTATCAAACGTCTCAACGCATGTCGCTGCCCATGTCGCGCAGGCGTGCTGCCGAAATGACGGCCCACGGCTAAGATTGGATAGACGACGTCATGTGGAGGCATCGTGGGCTGCTGTTGCATCCATGGATCGCATGGCTGGCTGGTCGCTGCTCGCTTCCGAAACGGCGATACTGCCTACGCTGTGCTGTGAAACGAGGTAGTCGGTCCGCGCCTGGCACTTCTTGACACCACGAGCGGTAGATTCTGGTGAGGCATTTCATTGGCAATTCATCGGCTAATCATCAGCCTCCGTATCTCAAATGCTGGGAGGCGGTTTTCTGGCAGGCTAGTTCGCCATCGTATTATTAGAGCCCTGGCCAGCCTTCTCAACACAACATGTCCAGCCAGCACATCTGGGATCGAGTTCAAGAGCACGCCCTCTCCCCAAACGGATCCCCCGCTGCCTTGCCGCAGCTCTATCGATTATACCTGCGCCAGCCGGTCCAGAATCCCAGTAGCGGTCGAGACTTTCATGTTGGGAACGTAGTCTTTGTTTTACGGGCTTTTCGCCATCATACCACCAGCGCTAAGAACTATTCCTTGCCGACTTCCGTTCGCAAAGGCGCTTGTGTTCCTGGAACCGTCTCGTACCTCACGAACGGGTGTTCTAAAAGTAGATTTTATCTTGCATTGTGTTTACATCTCGATAGAACCACGCGCATACCTTCAGATACGACCAAGAAAAAACCTCCTTTGTATACACATTCGTCACTGCGGAGTGCAGCCCGGATCATTACTAATAATAAGAAAACAACGAGAAGTCATCCACTCCTCTATACAGAAACATAGTTCCAACATGATATCGCATCCTCCTCTTCCCACACCGCCACATGGTCATTACATCCTCTACTTGTCCTTCTTCAATCCAAAATATAATCCAAGTGCCAGCGCGATAACGGCCAGGATCAGGATGACGGTCAAGAGGATCCACCACTTGAGCCTGCGCGCGCGCCTGGCGGACTTGATGCCTTCGTCCAGCTGCTTGTTCGCATTCTCGGTATCGTCCTTGACTTGTACGGTTTGCTCCTCGGTCCGCTGAATGATGGGTTCTTGGTAGACGACCTGCTCGTTGAGCTGGGTGAAGAGGAGGGCGAGCTCGCCCATGGTCTTCTCGATGCGCTGGATGTCGTTGTGGCGGGCGCGGACGGCGCCAAGGACGCTCGAGGCTTGGCCGCTACGGTTGGACTTGAGCTGCGGGTTGTTAGTGACGTAGGTCTTGTTTCGTGCGATCTGTGTCTACTTACAGCTTGTGTGAAGATGCCCTCGTCACCAAGATCCGAGTTGGCAATCTCGTTGACCTCGGCATCCGTCGCATCCGGGTTGATGATGCGGTACTGGCGCCCGACAGCCTCGCGATACCTCTTGGAGTAGTCTGCCTCCTCCCTCTGGAAGTCCTCTAGCTGTGTCTTGAACGTCCTCTTCAGCGCCTCCACCTGCGTCCTCTTGGTCCGGTCGTTGGGGTCGCGCACGGCATCCCTCTCGAGGAACTTGATCTCGTCTTTGATTTGGGTGTTCCTGATCTGCGTGGCGGTTACGATGCTCTCGAGCTCGGCGGTGGAGCGGTTGTCGGGCGACGATAGCATGCGCTGGTGGACGCTTGCAATGGCTTGGATGTCGGATGTGAGCTGGCCGATGCGCGACTTTGCGCCTTCGATGCGCGCGAAGAAGTCGTCGCGGCTGAGCGGCTGCGGTCCTGGCGCCTCCATGCCGGAGTGTCCGGTCGGCTCGCCGTACGCAGGCATGTTGTTCATGGGCACGTCGGTATGCGGTACGTTGGGTGGTTGTGTGTTTGCGCCGGGTTGCGAATACTGCGAGGGCTGCGAATAGTTGGAATCGCCATGACGTTGGAGGGGCGCCGGCGGGCTGAGCTGCTGGGCCTGGCCGTCATACTGTTTCGCCGCGTCAGTCTTTGAGTTCAGGCGGCGCGGTCGCGACTGCTTACTCCTCCGTCATAGGGGTTGGCTGAGCCGTAGCCGGTGCCGCCATATGGGTTTGATTGCGCGCCGTATCCAGCCTCGGCCTGGCCATACGGGTTGCCGCCGTATTGCTGATAGTTTTGCGACATGTTTGGTGTTGGCTGGGATGGATTGGCAGCGTTGGAGCGATGGTTTCGGAATGCCGCAGTGGAGCTTGAGATGAGCCGCGGAAGCTACGGAATCTTGCGCTGACCGACGGACGTGAGCGCGCGGCGTTTAGTCCAGCAATTCTTCCGCACAACAAGACTAGTCTTGGTGAAATGAACAGCGGATGCTGGGTCGCTGGGACTGGCAGTGCTCAAAATCGATTAATTGAACCTTGCCGTGGCCTTGTTTTGATGTGGGCTGCGAGGGAAATTAAATGAAGGGACCCTGTTGAATCAGCGAGCTCTGAGCCGCGACGACGCACGTCACCAATCGCACAAGAACGGGCAAGGCACGCCCTTAGTCATCGCTAGTGACGATCGCCCGGGCGTAGCGTGCAGTCCCGTGCGAGGCGCAGCATCACAGTCTCCATCATCACGACAAGGCAGCATCGTTTTGATGGACCTCATTGTACACTCTCGTCTTTTCAATACTGTGTGTTGTTCGCGCGATTGACCTGGAGTAGAAGTACAAGGCCTGCAGCGTACTCAGGTCTAGATCTTGTCGCCCACGGTAATAACCCGAAAGAGGTAGTGTCCGATGCGATATCGATCCCGCCCTGCCGCCATCTTTGACTGGCTATGTTCAGAGACAACCGTGCAACCCGGAGAGCATGACTGCGCCCACAGCTCTATACAATATCAGCGCCTACAAAATAGGACATGGTTCTAAGGCACCCACTCGCAAGCACCACCTTTCTTGGCCAATATGACATCTCGCTCAGCGTATTCTCTTGGTGTTGACTGGCAACTATACAGGTTGGAGATGACCTTGTACACAAAGAGCTATCCCAAGGATTAAGCCAAGTCACTGGATCGTCAGAGAAGAGTATCAAAGAGCGGATGCACCGCCTTCTTCTCATGCTAAATAGACTTAAAGTAACGCTTCTAAATACAAGAGCGGTTGATTCTTGTCTAAGAGGAGCTTGTGAATCACGGGATATTTTCTCCGAAGTGCATCATAAGGATAATAGAAATACATGCAGCCGTGATATCTAATCTAGTTCGTATTCTCGGCGATGCTCTTCTCCTCTTTGAGTATGCACAAGACTAGAGCGACTTACCTCGCGGCATGATTGAGAAGTTTCCTCAAGACACCATGAGAGGCCTACGTCAACGTTACGCCCCCCAGCATATCAACACTTGACTCATCAATTTGGTGCTGGGGTGAGCGCTGTTCGCAAGCAGTCTGCGTCAAAGGCAACGTAGGAGGAGCCGGCTGGTCTTCACCAGGCTGACGAGTCCCATCCCGACGACCAGAGGTACCCGATCCTCGATCGTCACCTCCTTGTCCTTCTCCTCGCCCTTGCCCTTGTGCTTCCGCAACTCCCATAGTGTTAGGGTTTTCCGTCCGGCTGTAACAAGGTCTGCGCCGTGCGGTCAAGAAAGGCACATCCTCGTTCGGCCTATGCCGTTCCTGTAGACCCGCGACGAAAAACGCTGCTTGGCTCTCGTAGCCGCTCTGAACTATCCAAGTACGCAAAGGAGCGCGCCATTTAGTTAGCTGGCCAGGGCAATCAAGCAAGCAGTGATGGTAATCTCCGCACCAGCTACAGGGGAAATGTTCTCGGTTTGCGTAGAGGCGTTGTTGAAGGACGTCCCATGGAGCTGTGGGATTAGTGGATGAGACTTAATTGTGTTGGGTTGACTTACTTTGCTCTCCTGACCTGGGTGTTCTGAAGGGTAAAGCAGGTTGCCCGTGGGTGTTGGGATGAGTAACCGTTCCTGGAGAGAATGAGTGTCCCGGGGCGCTGTTTGGGTAGTAAATTCCAGTGGTATCCTGGATAGAATCAGGGGCATAGGAGTATAGGCCTGGCTGATTCATATTGAGGTTTGGTGTGTAAGCCATTGTTGGATAGACAGGGCAATCACCACTATTCCAAGTTCCAGTACCATAATGACCGACTGGAGCGACAGGTCGTACGCCTCTCTGGCTGAAAGAACCGCTATTACCGCCACGGATGTTGCTTCCTCGTCGTATAGGGCAATTAGCGCAGTCTTTTCCTGCGTGGGCAGAGTTAGGGCAGCCCATACAAAGTAGCTCACAGCTCTGCTGATAATGCGGGCCAGCGCAGTTGAAACACCAAACCATCGTTGCTGAGACTGGACTGAAGAGGTACCTCGAGCGGATCAAAGATTGAGAGTATGCCACTCACCAAGCGGTAGATTGTGTTAGCTCTGGCGAGATAGTAGAGAATGAAGGCAATGAATTTTACCGGGGTCTGAGGTAGTCTTTATATCCTTCTCTTGACATCTTGCAAACTTATGTCCGATTTGCTTTACCGTGCTTTCCACCAGCAATCCAGCTGTGTAGGTACGACAGTTCTTACCAGGGGTGGCAAGCATTGCGCATTGACAGTTGTAGTCTGCGTTGCCCTACTTGCTGCTAACGTTAAGCTGTACTGCAGCAAGCAGTATAGCTTCGCGCGTATGTAGGTTTCGCACAATAGCTGCGTTGAGCCCAGACATCAATCATAGTAACAGAGGTTAGTCGGGTGTATACACACCAGAGAAACTTTAGTCTATTGCGAGAATACGGACAACGAAAACGAAACGAGTAGAAAAGGCTAACTACAAAACCAAGACCGCGAGGAAGCTATCAAAGGGCAGAGCGCAGACAGCAAAAACAAGTGACACAAGGAAATGAGAGACACACCAGCAGTCTCGCAACACCTACCATCCACCCCCAACCCTCACATCCAGAACATCGTGTCCCTCAGACACGGATCCCAAGGATTGAGCCACGGCTTCCCATCCACAGTCTGGTCTTTGAACTTGTAGAAGTCATCTTCAACCTTCTTGAACACGAACCTCCTTAGACCCAGCACGATCTCCTTTCGATGATCAGCCTCTGTTGCTTTCCTGTCCTTGAAGTGCTTCTTTTCGTCTTTCCTGTCGGCGAATTGTCGATTCCTCGGGTAGAGGGAGTCAAGCAATGTCGTATACTGTTGTTCAAGGCGGCCCTTCTCCAGCGTGAGAGCTGCTTCCAGGTTACCTGGGCCTGCGACGTCTTCAGTCTTGACGAAGTATCGACGCATGTAAGTGCGGCTGCGTTCGCATAGGCGGTCGGCGTAGTAGGTAGGCGAGGCGTAGGATACACCGACTGTCCCGCGGACGTAGGAGAAACAGATAGCATGAGTCTAGAACAAGTTAGTCATGCTTCGTTAGAACAGGCTCGTGGGGATTCTTGCCAGATCGCGCAACTTCTCCAGATCCAAGCCCTCGATTCCAGTCTCCAGGATGAAGTAGTGAGTGGGCTTCGCCGTTCCTTTTATAGCTGAATGAGACTGCAGGAAGAAGTCTTGGTAGTATGGAGACGTGACGAGTTGATCCACAAACAGACCAGGCTTCGTGTTGTAGTTACCGAATGCGTCGCGATCCGGGTAAGTCGGCTTCTTCTCGCCTCGCGGAGGGTCTGGCAGCTTATGTGACATTGGGTAGAAACGTGTGTGGTGACGTTTCGTGACGACTACCGCGGTCAGGCCAACCTCGGAAGTCGTACCGAACTTGTTCGCGAGCTTACTGTAAGCGTCGCGGATAGCTTGCAGTTCTTTCAACTTGACTTGTTCGTACTGGGTCGCACTGACACCATCTCTGTAGTACAGGATGTTCTTGGGCAGGGTCTTCTTTTCGCTGTGGCGTATCCAGTCCTCGAGCCGCTCGGTAACCATGGCTTCGACCTCTTGGATGATCTGTGAAGTCAGTTTAGCGATTTGACAGAAAGACTGGAGATGAAACTAACCTCTCGATCCGTTATTTGCTCAGGCTTCGCATTGCCTTTATCATCTTTCGCTTCCTTCTCGATACGCTGCAGGCGTGCAGAGCCAAGACATCTACCCGCTGAGTAGTCCACAGATCCGACTATCGAAGCGATAGATGGGCAGCCGTCGAATGCACTTGGCCCCGCATGAACTAAATCAGCACCAAGCACCATAACACTCTGCTGTGACAGATACGACTGAACGTCCTCTACCGAATGTGTGAAGCCGCCTAGCTTGAGGTTAATCTTCATCATGATGTTGGTGATGCATTCTGCAAGGAGGTAGTTTTTGTCCGGGGCCGAAAACTTGCTCACAACAACGACCGATTGGAGGCCGGATGCCCTCTCAGCTAAAGTCTTGAATCGTGAGTATATGCCTACGTTCTGCTTCGGTAACATGAGGATGACCAGATCGTAAGCGTCGTCTTTGGCAGTCTGCAGAGCAGCTTCTAGATCGCGGATTTCAAGGTCTTGAAGAGCAGTAGGAAGCTGAAGGTCGATGTCGGTAGCAGTGAGTCCACACCGATTCAGCTGTCGTACGATCTCATCGGAGTACTTTGTAAACGAATCATCGTCCACGGCGAATTTATGTTGCTCTCTTGGGTAAACTTGATACGTCTTGCCGAACTCGTCCTGACGATCTTGTAACGGATCCTTTCGGATGCGGAGGAAGCCAAACTTGAAGGCTTTTGGCTTGGTCGAAAAGAAGACAGAATTGGCAGGAACTTTCCAACGAGCTCCACCAGCCGCCGGAAGCGTCACTGGCACAGTTTGGCGTCCTCTACTGGGATTGATAGGGTCGTTTGTGACGGTCTTGTAAGACGGGCATGGGTATCGGAGTATTTGGCAGGGAACTTGCATCATGGTGGGAACGAGTTGAATCGGTACTTCGCTACTGTTTCCCTATCATACAGAGTTAGCTCATTCGTATTTCATAACTTCATACACTTACGACATTGCTGAACAGAGCGCTCGTAACGCTTTGCTGATCGAAGCCCAGATTACGCAGTCCTTCGTTCTCGATGAGGGCTCGACTCTCATCAGGCTTTTTCGCAGCCTCTTGGACCATCCCACTGGCGAACTTCTCTGGAACTGGCCGTCGATAGATTTGCCATGGCAGAATTTGGAGTTGCTCCTGGGCATACCATACAGGTTCCTTCTCCGTACCACAATTGATAGCTTTTCGCGTTGTGTTGGCTGTATGCCCGAAGGTGTCTCTGAGATAGTTCACGACGTTAATGTGATTTCCTGTCTTTCTGTAAGATCCATCGGGATTCTTGGCAAATGTTCCGTCGGCATTCTTCACCCTCATCTGGAATGTCACAGTGCCCAGGGCGGGGCCGATGAAGTTGACCTTCTTGGTTCGGCTACTGGCACTATTTAGCTTATCATAGTTTGCTTCTTCGCCTGGGATCCTGCGTCTATCGGTTACGACAAACACTCGGAGACCTTTGAGGTTGTCTTCTTGATGACCACCAAAGGTATTTGTATCTTGGAGGAAGTTGCTGACGAGAATGGGCTTGAAGAACGCACTGGTTGCCAGGTTGAAGTTGAGAATGATGCATCCTGTACGGGTTTGACATTGTAATAATAGCCGCGCACGGTCTCGAGAGATTGAGACGATACCTGTCCTGACCAGAGTGGTGACCTCGCGTCTTTAACGAAAAATTTGTTGGCAGACTGGCGGTAAAGCTTGCTGTCATCAAATGTCTTCGAGATGACGAGGTTCAGACACCGAGATATGACGTCAAAGCTTTGATTCTCCTGCTGAGGATCCGCGTTTGAGTATCGTTGGAAATCACTGACGTCGATCTTTCTCACCAGCTCGAACTCAAGCTCGAGCGAACTGGTACCGTCTTGAAGTGTCATTTTCCAAAGGCCAGTGGATTCGTTGTCGCCTCTAATTAGACCTTCCAAGATGTGTTGATGAAGGTTCTCCCAAGCGACGATCGAGTCAAAGTTGTTTGTGACCAACTTAGTGCTGTGTGATTTCAAGAACTCCCAAGATTCGATAGCTTTCTGGTAAACTAGCTTCGTCCTCCTCTTGTCTTTGCTCCCGATGTTGTTGATCTTGTACTCATAGAATACGTCTGCTGAAACCGAATACTCGAAGTGGTTTGTAAGCACTTTCCTCTCCGGTTTGAGGTCGAGGAAATTTTGACGTATAGGATGAGTGGGTGACTCGATCGCACCGGAAGTCTCTTTGGCATTCTTCACGGCCTCAGAGAGCTTCCACTCTCTACCCACACCATTCGGCGTATTGTCTTCGATGCTCAGGTTTCGGCTGTCCGGATAACTCAGCTCACCCGCGAATGTTGCTGGAGAGGTCGCGCTTGCCGTACTAGCGAAACCTCCGCGGTTTCCTCCACGATTGCCTCCGCGATAACCCCCACGACCCCGTCCGCGACCGTGGCCTTGGACTGAGCCATCTTGACTGAAGTTGTTGGGTGACTGCCGAGCCGGTTCGGCGATTGTAAGGTTGTTCATGCCGTCATTTAGAGGGTTCACCGGACCAGGGACTCGCGAGTTACTGAAATTGCCCTGGAAACCTTGGCTTTGTGATCCAAAGGATGAGGTTGTAGGAGGCTGCGCGAAATTCCCCATGAAGCCCATATTCTGCGGAGGCGCGTGGTACGGGATCGGACCACTTCCTCCTTGTTGGAGTGAAGCAATATGGGCATTTGCTTGTGCAGTTATGTTGAGGTCGATGATCCTTTGCCAAAGCCAACTTGGCCAGCGCGGTTGCGCTCGTCTACATTGCAGGATGCTGTGGTTGCTGTCACCGCATCTCTCGCAAGGAAACGTCGCTTGGTACCTGTCGATGATCTGTGCGAAATTCGCCGGAGTGATTTGTTCGATCTCAGTTCGCAAAGGTCGTCGTGATGTGCCCGATCCCACTGACCCACCACGTCCACCACGTCCGCCTCGTCCGCCACCACCTCTATCCGTACTACGTCCGCGATAGCCAGACATAGTCGAGATGTGCCAAAGATGGAACGAATGCCTGAATGAAGCAGCGGTGAAGATCCACTCCTGATACTGACGAGATGAAAAGATGCTGTGAGAATGAGGTGTAAGTAGGCACGTTATATCCTTCTCTTCACATATTGCAAACCCATCCCCAATTTGTTAATCACCGTGCTTTCTGTTAGCAATCCAGCTTTCGTACAACATACCCTTTGTTATTATCAAAACGCAACCTCAAACCTACACATAACAACATCTTTACAAGAAGTCGCAAGCATTGCGCAACGCTAAAATCTTGGGACAAAGCGATGTGCCTGCTGCTTTACAGGCGTTAACATGTGTACTGGCGACGAATGTACCCATAATGCGGATTCATGGTCGCGATACGCGTCGATGCACTTGCCGCTTACGTCAAGCTGCTCCTCAGCAAGCAACATGGCTTTGCGCGTTTTTAGGTTTCGCACAATAAGTTCATTAAATTCAGATACTTGGAAGAAAAGAGAGACATCGCGTGATAGGCGACGTGGAGGTTAATGGGGAGCGTGGTGAAAGTGGGACGGATGGAGGGATGGAGGGACGCGTCTTTGGGGGGCGGGACGCTAGTGACATATTGGGTTAGTGTATTGCCTCATTGAGTGGATACCATCCATACAGCAACCCGTGGACTTCAATACAATCCGCCATTCGCAATTTAGATTTTCGATAGTCGGTAGAAGAATATAGGCCTAGCTCTAAAAGCCATACTATGCAAGAGGTAGAAAATCGCCACCAAATACGTTTCCGATAACTCCCGAGGTCACCGCGACCAATACCCAGAGTCTCTCTCTATCATCCACCACGCCTCAGATCCCATAAATACCAAATGCCGCCACACAACCTCAGCCCCCTCACTCCAACCGCTCACTCGGAAACAGCCTCCTCCTCCTGTTACTCCCACTCAGCAAATGCGCAAACTCCGGCGCCACAAACCCCCTATTAGCATTCCCTCCACCGCCTACCGGCATCGGCACCGAATACTTACTAACGCCCCCATCGCCCCTGTAACTGATATGCTGGCCATACGCGTCCACCGTAGGTCTACCCATCGGCCCATTAAACATGGGTCGGTTATGGTTGACCTTCATATCTCTTGCGCGCAGCAAGCCAGCCTTCCTCTTTTCAACTTCTTTCGCGTCGGCGATGGCTTGGAGACGGGCTTCTTCGGCTTTGCGGGCGTCTTCAATGTCGCGGTGGATGGGGCCGCCGATGATGCCGTGGCGGGTGAGGGGGTGCGAGATCGAGGGGAGGAGAGAGGTGCCACGGATGTAGGTGTCGGATATGTCGCCGAGGACTTCGAGGCCGGTTGTTGTGCCTGTGTACATGGCTGGTGCTTGGGGGAGGCGGCCTGGAGAAGTCAGTATGTATGTCATATCGCTTTTGGATATGGATGCTACTTGCCCATTGGCATGCCTATTTTCGGTTTTCCGTACCAAAAGGGCTCGATGTTGAGGATTTGGGCGCGCGCTTTCTGGAGGGTCTTATCGTCGTCGAAGCGTTCTTCCCAGGAGAGGAGGGTAAGGTCGCGGAAGGCGTGTCGGAATGAGCGCATGGCGGTAGCGAAGTCACTGCCGCGAGGGCATAGCTCGCCGTTGTACGGAGCCTCGGGTGTTGGAGCTGGCTTGGTGATGAGGGAGAGTAGACGATTTGCTTCGGGGTGCTGAGTAAATTCTTCGCTGCTAAGAGATACTTGTCGTTTGACATCTTCCTTCTCTTCCTTCTCTGCTGCCGGTAAGATTTTGGCAGGCTTGTACTGTACAAGCGCCCAGTACACATGCGGCTTTGTATGACTCTCCAATAGCCCAATATGGTACTGTAGAGGCAGACGTACGAGGTCAGTATATGTGTCACAAGCATTTTGTACAGTCAGAGCTTACGTTTGCAGAGCCGTAGGGAGGATTGTCCACGCGTACAAGCAGGATCTTGTATTCGAAGCCGTCCGTATCTTGATAGTAGTGATAATCCTCTTTCCAGTGAGAAATCTTAGCTTGAGGTACTTTCTTGGAGGTACCACGGGGCTTGGATTGCTTGAGAGGTGTCTGGATAAGAGCGACAGGCTTTGGAGATTGGCTGGCCGGGCTTGGAGTGTCATCCATGACTTCAATAGAGTTCTTTACCTGGTCCTCACAAGCTCCAGCTCCAGTACCCTCAGCCAATGCAGTCTCTCTTTCCGCTCTCCTACGTAAGAGGTCTTGTTTCGCGGAAATGAAGGGGATTGAAGGAACTGCCGGGGCAGACGTGGCAAAGAAGAAGCTCTTGCTCTTCCTCGGTTTTCTCGCAACAATACGAGAAGCCTTCGACGTACCTGATCCAGTCAACCCTTCGATGTTCTCACAACCTTTCCTGAACTTACTGCCATCCGCTAGAGTACCTATCCTCTTGAGCTCTTTCTTCTTCCTCCTCTCTTTCATAAGTACTTCCCACGTGTACTTCCTAGTACCCAACTTCTTCTTCGCTTGCAACGAGTCGTCGAACCAGTCATAGCTGACTACGTGGATGTTGAGGTCGGTGGCTTGTTGTACAGCGTCGGCGGGTTTTTTGTATGCCTCTTTACTGGCGATGAGGTGAGTGACGCTCTTGTTCACCTTTGCAGAGTATTTGCCGCCATTTCGCTCGATCCAGGCTTTGATCTGTTTAGTATCATGGGGATGGGTACCAACAACGGCAATAGTAAGCTTGTCCAACACACCCATTGTGGCGGCGCGGTGGTTGGATTGTAGAGTGTAGGAGTGATGGTGTGTAAACTTGCTTGACGACGTAGTTGAGGGCTTATGATGTCCAGATTGAGTGTCTAAATCTGGCGAGACCCTCGTTGGTCTTACCTTGTGGTGGTGGGCAGCGGTTGAAGTGATATAGCGTTTGCCGGGACCGTGCGGCTGCCATCAAGAGGTAAGAGACGCCGACAAAGCGACTCCAGGCCGCTATTGCGGCGGCACAAACCACCATTATGGACATATTGAGATGCCTGACTTGTAAGAAATAGAGTACCAAAAAGAGTATTGAAAGAGAGATCAAAAGGATGCTGGGCCATTTTTGTTACATTTGATGATTCGGAAGACAGCCTTCAGCTTCGATAGTCGTGTTCTGAACCGCCACTACTAGTTCTTGGCCGCCTTGATGAATGCACGTATCTTGTCCAGACTTTGCTGGCCATCTTTCTCCACACCGCTGCTGACGTCTACAGCATGCACGCGGTCCCGGTATTCCTCAAGACCAGCGAGCGTAGATTGGACATTATCAGGGTTCAATCCTCCAGCTAATATGACCTTGATACCATCGTCTTTCGCGAATACTGTTTTGACATCTGAAAGATCCAACTGCTGACCCGAGCCGCCGGATCCTGCATCCAGAAGTGGTAGAGCGTGATACCCTCTTGAGCCGATACCAAGGTTATGCGGGTTAAATGCTCTCAAGACAGGAACCGGGACAAGCTTTGCCCACTCTAATGGCTCCTGACCATGAAATTGTACGACGTCTAGATTCAGCAGTCGCTGCTGTTCAAGCACGTACTCTAGTGACTGATTTCGGAACACGCCTACAAGAAGCGCGTGACTATCACTGGACACCAGTCGTGCTGCGCTGTGCTCGAAGAAATCGGTAGCGGTCTTTGATTCAGCAAGTAGCCCTGATTTCGAGACCACAGGCTTTCTGGTCTTGTGTACGGTTTCCGAGATTTCCAGAGCTGTCTCAGCCGTGACTGTTCGCTTGGTCCCTGGCGCGAGGATCATGCCGATAAGGTCAGCTCCTGCTTCGATTGCGACTTTTGCGGCCTCGGCACTGCGAGTACCACAGATCTTCACCATCGGGTTTGATGCTGTTCCCGTCTTCTTGGTAGATGAGCCACCCAGAAGCTCCGCGATGAACTGAGCGGTGTCGGATGCGCGCATCAGCGCTTCACCCACCAAAACTGCGCCAACTCCACTTTTGATGTATGGTTCGACATCCTTTGGCCCGGCAATACCGCTTAGCGCACACAAAATCGTCTCTTTTGGAACCATGTTGATTAGACGGTTGGTAGTTTCCATGTCGACCTCGAAGTTCACAAGGTTACGGTTGTTCACACCAATGACCTGAGCGCCCAGCTTGACCGCAATCTCCGTTTCTTCCGCGTTCTGGACCTCGACGAGAGGTTCCATTCCAAGTGACCGGGAATAGTCGTAGAGGTTTTTCAAGACTGCTTCATCCAGCATCTTGACGATCAGCAACACTGTATCGGCACCCGCGAGCCTAGCTTCCAGGATCTGATACTCCTCGAAGATAAACTCCTTGCGCAGGACGGCGGGACGGTTCGGCATGCCTTCCAAGCTTTGTCGAACAGCTTTGAGGTCGTCGATGCTACCCTTGAACCACTCCGGCTCAGTAAGTACGGATATCGTGCTTGCACCGGCCTTTGCGTACAGCCTTGCTTGAGCGGGAGCGCATGCGGACAGTGAAATTATGCCCTTGGAGGGTGATGCGCGTTTGATTTCGGCCATGAGTGACAGTCGGAAGGGCGATTGCCTGAGACGCTCGGGGAAGTTGATTTGAGGAGGCGCTAGGTTGAGATCGTACGCAGCCTGTAGATCACTGGGTCGTTGGGACGGAATCTCCTTCTGCTTAGCAACCGAGGCCCTGCGATGGTCGTAGATCTTCTCCAGTATGGATGTTTGCTTGTCCTTCTTTGCGCCAGTTGCTGTGCCGCTGGAACCAGTTCCGACTGCTTTGGCATGTGCCTCTTTCTGTAGTCGCTCATTTTCGGCCCAGGTGCCTCCCTGCATCTTTAGGAAGTTCCTCACCATGAGCCGACCGTCCTCTGTCAGGATGCTCTCCGGGTGGAACTGTACACCCTCCATGACGTATTCCTTGTGCCGCACGCCCATAACGACTTCCTTGACTTTGGCATCTTCGTTCGCGGGTATGGTTGCAGTTACCTCGAGGCAGTCTGGGAGAGTGCCGTGGGTGCCGGCGAGGGAATGGTAGCGCGTAACGGGGACGTCTTGCGAGACGCCTGCGAAGACGCCCTTGCCGTCGTGCTTGAGAGGCGACGTTTTGCCGTGCAGGACCTGGCCTGTGACGTCTACAGTACCGCCATAGCTGTAGAAAATGCACTGTCTATGTCGTGTCAGCACTGCCTCGCCTGTTGCGCCCACCGGGAACCGAGAACTCACTCGCCCATGCACACGCCGAAAATCGGGATCTTGCCGCTGTAGTGCTTGATGGCCGCATTGCTAATGCCTGCATCCTTCTCAGGGTGTCCTGGACCTGGGCTGATTACCAGTTGTGTAGGGTTTTTCGCGATGAGATCTTCGAGGGTAATCTCGTCATTTCGGTATACGGTCACTTTCGCGCCTTCGAAGACGAGATACTGGTAGACATTCCAAGTGAACGAGTCGTAATTGTCAATGAGTACGACATTGGAAGCGGTGGGTATCGGCGGAGATGGTGTGGGGTTGCTGGGCGAGTGGTCGATGAGTTCTAGGGCAGGCATTTTGGGCGGTGTTCTGCGTCAGCTTGGCCGTCGCGTTGGAAGCCCGGTGGCTGTTATATAGCTTCTTCTGAGTACCCTCCGGCAGATGGCAGAAAGCGCGCCGGTCCTTTGACGGCGAGGTCGACGTTTAGAATATATTAGCTGCCGATTGCGGAGTGCGCGCCGAGAGATGTGAGTGCACCTTGGGACGGGAAGGTGGGAAAGGAATGGCTGTCTACTAGAGTAGTGGGGTGACTCAATGATGCTCTATTCAGATATTGAGGCTGCGGAGTTAACACGGAGGTGGCATGAATCGGTCCTTAGTGCTACGGCACCGTACCTCATGTTTGGTACAGCAACGCCAGGTATTGCGCAACATCTTGCCTACAGGAAGTGTAACGGATTACCCAGGATTTGTATGTACCCAGGGACGGGTTTGTTCCTGCGTGTAGGCAGTCCGCGGGCATTTTCCTGCTGCATTGTTGGCAGAATGCAGTTGAACCTCAGATGGAAAATCATTGCGACGCGAACCTAGGCGATTAAAACTAAATGGCGATGGCATGTTTCTGCGCATCGGGTCTCCCAAAGTCTTTTCAGAGGATTGAAGAAAGGTATTGGGGAAGGATCGCAAGAAAGCGCCCTTGTGATGATCCCTGCACGTACTAGCTCGACTTTCGCGTGAGCTTTGGCTTTCGCGACTTTCGTAGCCATTGACGCCAAACATTCGGCAACACGACCCCCACGCCTCTCCAGCACCTTCATGGCCTCTGGGTAGCTGATTTCCTACTCGCGCACTGCAGCGCAACCATGGCCCCCATCCAATCCCCCGAGTTCGACCTGGGCAAGTGCCTCAAGGGCGAGCAGCAGCTTGTGTATGTTTACCTGCATCGAGCGCAGCAACGCAGCTGACAGTAGCAGGACCTGGGACATCGCATACCGCGCCCTCTGCGACCCCGAAACCGCGTCCAAAAGCGACGCCCTACGCGCCTTCCTCACCGCGAACGAGAACAGAGACATCCTAGCCCACCCGTGGAAGCCCTTCCCCGACCCGTCGTCGCAGGAGAAGAGCAAATTCGAATCAAAGACCGCGCCCATCAGCGTCACTCCCGCCCAGAGCGAACACTACGATGTAGCAGAAATCAAGGACGACAGCCTGTGGCTGGCCAAAGAGGCGCAGATATCAGAATATGCAGCGCTGCAGTTGGTTGTCCAGGAATGGCAGGGCCGGCCAACCGCACAGCTATTGAGTGGACTCACTGAAGAGGAGGCCCTCAGCGTACAGGAAGCCGCTGGAGTCGGGAATCTAGGCGCCTCGACTTTCGTCCCAAACTCATCCATCATGGCCTCACCGCTCGCTTCCAAGACCGCGCACCTCGAAGCAAAGGACCAGCGCCGCCTCCACATCCTCGACGTCTACCATTCGACGTGCGCGTCCATCATACGCATCAGCCAGCTTCTGGTCTCGTGGGGCTGCGCGTCCAACTTGCGCAGCCAAACCATCTACGGCAACGACTACCTTAGCATTGGCGCCGGCTGGATTGAAGAGCTTGGACAGGCTATCGCAGCAGCGCAAGATGGCCCCTCGGGCGGAAAGGCGCTAGACGAGTTGCTCAAAGCATTCGACAAAAGATGCGACGCTTTGGACACCGGCTATGGCTGGGACGTCGACGAGTCGATACTAGAGCCTGCGTCGGAGAAATGGGTCGTCGCGCAGACTACAGAGATGTTGCATATCCTTCACCTGGCCTTGGTACACGCAGACCTGGTTGCGAAGGATTTCCTACCTGCGGCCACCATCGAGGACTGGCTCAAAGCCTTCAGTTTCCGCGGCTTTTTCCGCGAATTCCCTGCAGTCACGGCTCGCCAGGAACCCCTCATTCCGGTGATACAACTGCTGACTTCACTCATGTCTCTGACCATATTGAAAGTGGACAAAATCATGGATGATCTCGAATCCGGTAACTGCAACGCCTGGGACTCCTCATCGTATATTCTCAACGGCACAGTTGTAGAGAGCATTACTACCATCTTTGGAGAGGCCAAATTGTTAGGCGCCAGTCCGGCTACACCACCTACATTCGCCTGGGCTATCCTGACTTGGAGGCTCACCACCCGTGCGAGCTACGAGGAACAAGAGCGTGACCGTCTCATCGAAGCGTCGAACGACACAGGGAATACGGAACCTCAGACTTCGCCACTCGAAGAGGCTGCTTTAGTTGTGGCTAGACTTGAAAATCATGAGCTCTT